TAGTTTATTAAATTTCACCTAGAATATTTCAGTTATAAATGTAACTAAAATTAAGCCCTGCCATGTTTTTACAGATTAAATTATAACGCTCAAAAATACTATGAAAATGTGTTATTGGTTTTTTTTAGTAGATCAAGAATTCATAAATTAAGAACATTATAAATTAGGCGTGAAAGGCAAGAGATCTCCGATCTCTAGTTAGGTATTTCACGAGGTTGAGGTGTACAATAATAAGAAAATAATGCTGGTTGGTTTGCGACCCACCCCAGGTCTGTGCCGATTTTGCTTTTATGCCAAATTAAACTATGGCTATACAAGACTTTTTTATACAGCCCCTTATCATTAAGAAATAATATATCTACAATAAATACATTCTAGTGAATGGTAAATTTAACCATGAAGAAAAACATCTCTTAATAATTGTGATCATCATCTGCAGGCTGCTACCGACAGTATTATAGGATTGGTTACTAAATTAAAAGTTAAAACAAATATTTGTTTTTGACAAAGTAAAATTAAATTGATTTCTTGCACTAAACAAGTTTCGACTGTAGACATAAAATATTATTTACAATTGGTTTTTTATGTAGAAATATTAAGATAAATATAAGTAATGTTCTTTAATAATAATTATTATTTACTGATAAATTATTAACACTTGTCTAAAACTACGTTGTTATATCGACATAAAGTATTTGAATAATATAATATGTATATAACAAAAATATACACTTATTATGAATAAAAGTTTTCATTCGTTCAGTTGATATTAAACTTAATTGCAATAACAGGATGATTTTTAATTGGATAATATAATGCTTATTGCTTCTACGTCAGCTACAAAATATAGTCAGTGTTACTAAGCATACAATATTATATTAAAAATCGTGAATCGTAGTTAATTATTAATGCACAAACACATGAAAAACAGTAATTATTTTAAAATGTTGAAAAAATAATAATAAGACTAAAATACTATTAAGTAGGTAGGTTACCCACCTAAATCTGATATAGACTATACATAGCATAATTTACTAAATAGTGTAATAAATTTATTGCATTACAATTACGGCGGATGAAACCCATTATAAATCATATAAATATTCGGCAAACATGTGGTGCTACTTTTGTAATAAATTGCACAGTGAATTGTAATAACGGCATACGGTCGGTAAGTAAAATAATTCATTTTTAAATTTGCATAATATAATGATAATAATTTTCGGCACAAGTTTATTGGTTAACCCGACTACTGCAGGAACTTATACGCTGTTTTAATCGCGACATACATGCATGTGCACTGCGAAGTTAAACAGCTCACAACCACACCATCCTATATTATTATCATATTATATGAATATCATCACAGACCAACTATCTGTAAGTACACACACCATGTGCTATTCACCATGCATGAGATACTTCATATACTTATAATATGATATAAGACCCACGTCGCAATAGTAATTTGTCAGTTTTAACGCAGCAGACATATCATATTTTCAAAATCACAAAAATGTCATATCTGGCGATTTTGCAGTAGCGTCGATGTGCAATGCAAATTGATCACTGTTTCACGACGATGCCGTGAACAATACACCGTTTTAGTGCAGCATTACTACTTACTAGATAAACTTTTGGCGGCGCTCTAACAATGCGGTTCTATATTATTGGTGTAAATGGTGTTGGCAAACAGAATTATAAATGTGGTTTAAACATAGGTATTTTAAAAATCACAAAAATCGTATTTTCGAAATTCCGTAGTAGCGTTCGCGTCGATTTATAATGCAAATCGATCGAAGCTGCACGACGGCGATATCATGAACTTCAAACATGCTGTTCTCGTGCATTTCTACCCTATACATTTTTGATAACTTATATACTTGGGTGTGTGTTATATCGCACGAATTGTGTTGGTTAACAAAACTATTGCAGGAACTTGCACTGTTTTAAACACGAAACACACACACACACACACACACACACACACTGCACTCCGGTTCACAACCACCATATTGTTATATCGTCACAAACCAACTATATCCTCAGTGAATACACATCACATTATTTACTAAGACAGATACATAATAAGACGCAAGGAACATTGGTGTAGTAATTTGTCCGTTTTAACGCAGTACGATTGTGAGACTATCACATTCAAAATATGCTGATACGACATTAATAACTTCACAAAACATTAGCATTTTGGCTAACGTCGCACAAGCAGTGATAGAAACGATGGAAAACCACTCGCACTGCAGAGAACCTCTGAGATGTAAAAAAAACTAACTGCACTTAAACAAGAGTGAAAAAAGATGCAGAGGATAATAATGGTATATTGATATCTGCAGTTGTGTTTGTTAACAGATTTTTGTACAATGGAGCATCCATAAGTTACATTATATCAATGTGGTTTAGACATATTTTCAGAATAACAAAAATTCGTACTCTCAAAATTCAGTGGTGGTTTTGACGCGATGTCATCGATATACAGTCGTTGACACTTATTGGACATTGCACTTTGGGACCAGAGCATTTACCTTTATTTCAATAAGGCTAGAGTCCAAGAAAAAAGAGATACAATAAAGAAAAATAACAATTATAAACAGAAACAAATAGAAAATATATTTTTTCCAAAAAGTCGTTTTATTAATATCAAAAATTGTGAAAAAAAATTATTTTCAAATTCTTTATTAACATATTGTAGGTGTTTTTGTACATGTGTTAATATACGCGGGTAAATCTAGGTCTATAATATTTGATCCCAATAAGCGAACGAGTCCACAAACCTCATGAGTCGATATAAGAGGCGACTTCGGCGGATGTAATGAAAATCGATCACTGCTGCACGTCGTCATATCGTGCATTCCTATCCCCCAAAAACTTTTGACGACGCATATATGTGTTTTTTCTTTTTTACCGGACGACCAGCATTATAATATTATATATGTTTGTCGTAAAATCGTTACTGCTGTCGTCGTCGTCGGCGACCGTGTGCGCAGCGTATATATAATGTGTATATATACACAGAGCATTGCACATAAACATACCTACCTGTAGCCTGCCTACCTACCGCCGAACTGACGATTTCTATATGGCCGCCACCACTGCCGCCGCCGCCGCCGAAACCGGGAAGCCGGCCACACAGCGATACGCGTCGGTCGTTGTAATATATATTATATACTGTATATTATTACGCTTAAGCGGGACGATAATGCGCGCTCGAGATAGGAACGCAGGAACGCACGCGTACTTCCGGCGACCGGAACCAGCGAATAACGACAGTCGTACGTACCGCAATATATATTGCTTTGTAGTTTATTCTGGGCACCTAAATAATAATATAATGTCATTATAAACTTTATATGTTTACCTGTAATATAATATAATATAATATAAATATTATATAGGTACATATTTACATATTGACGGGGATATGCCTCACATGCGCACACGATATACGAATTTAATAGTATAATATAAAGTAAATTATGATAATTCATGTACTTACGATTTTATCGCGAGTGAAGGGTATAATGATATAGAAGTTAAGAAAACGTACCCGCGTACTTTAAATCCATCTTATAATTATTGCAAACGCATAACTACACATATGTCATTAGCAAATTTATAGGTAAGTGGGTTCAGCCAAAACTTTAACGTAGTTATATGGTAGCTAATTAATTAGGTAATAACTATTAATTTTAAAGTTAATTAATCGGTCATCAATTTTATAAAGTGAATTATCAATTTTGATTTATGACTTAAAGAGCATTTTTAACCAATATTGTAATTATTACTGTCCCTATATAATACCTATTTTACTACTATTATATCAATTAATTATTAACCATAAATTGTTCATTTTTAACTAATAAGTAATAACAGATTGTAAAAATGTAAAAATAGTTTTAAATTTATCCTATATAACTCACTTCAAAATTAAAGTATCACAAAAAAACTTACCACATAACTTAATTGCATATTTGACACTTTTACCTTTCAATTTGATACAATATATTATATAAAAAGTATCAATAATATTGAAGTATAGTACTATAGTATGTGGGTATCTGCTATACCCGATGTATATCCAGGTACTAGGTATTGTTTAATATGGGATGCACTTGTACAAGACAAATACGATCAGTAATATTTGGGGAGGGGTTTTTTTATTGGTCGGGAATATAAGCAATTTTGTGCCATGTAAAATATAGGTTTGGGTATACAACAAAATTAAATTAAGTATTTAATTTGTGTGTTGAATATAGTTAGGTAGGTACTCTTTCTATACTTCTCGGTGGCATACTGGGGCAACCCATTTCGTGTCGTCTATAATGACTCTAGCCGTAGTATGAAATATTACTAAAAAAATTTTTAAAAATAATGATTTACGACGAGCGTGATAACCAGAATGGTGTGTTCTTATCGGAAATTACGGCGAGTGCGAATTCTTTAAACACTTTTTTATCTAGAGCTTTGAGGTACCTGCATACATATTTATCACATTATAATAATGGGAGAAAAATAATTGCCAAGTCTATAACCCTCGACTAACTTCGACTTCTCCGGGGGCAACACAGTGGACGCACACACGCCACTACGCTGTCGCCACTGTGCGCGGGTACGGTTGACGCGTCGCATTATTATATAAAGTGTCGACGACGGTCAACGCTGCCCGCGAGATGAAGATGCGAACTTGTGTGCACCGCGTGCTCGCTTGTGTGTGTGTGTGCGTGTGTGTGAGCGTGTGTGTGTGTGTGAGTGTGAGCGTGTGTGTCGGCCGAGTCGAGAGACCGCGGCGGCGGTTGTGTCTCGCAGGCGCCTTTACAACACGCCGCGGCTTGGGAGGTAGCCCGCGCACCAGTCCGTGTGACCACCGCGAAGAAACCGGTTTAATCCCGGGCGGCCGCCGATACATCCGTATAGAGTGGTCCTCCGCGCGCGCAGTCATCGTGCACGTTCGTCCCGCCGCCGCCGCCGCCGCTTAGTATATAGATGCATGACCGCCGCCGCCGCTGCTGCGCTCTCTCTCTCGCACCGCACCCGGTGCCGCCGTCGCACTTCGCAGTCAGTACTCAGTACGCCGCTAACCGTACCGAACGTCACGACTCGCGGTCGCCCGTCGTCATCACGCACCGGTGTCAGTCGTCGTCGTCGTCGTCGTCGTGTTGTTTTGTTGTAGCTTTTAATACTTTGCGCGCGACCGCCCTTTCCCCATCACACACACGCACCCCAATCGATAATGCCGTACGCCGCTGCCACGATCGTTTCGGCCATGTCGTCCGGATAGAAGAGGTCCCCGCTAGGCTCTTCCAGCGATAAAATACACTGTCCATAGGTATTGTACAGGACTACCGGTAAATCCTTAGCCGCCGCGTGTGCGTTAGTGTAAATGTTTGTGAACCGTCAGTGGAACCAGCTCGGTAGCCCAGTCGTAACCATCATCGTCGGACGCACTAGGAGGCCCAGAACGATCCCGCCGGGACACTCGTTCTAAGGTAATACCGACGATTATAATAAATATGCGAATCTGATATAATGGTTATATACCTATTAATTATTATCTGTTATATAATATGCTTGTGGTAATCGTGACGATAACTTCGCACGGCGACGGTGGAATTACGAAACGCCGCAATACTCGATTCGCTGGAGTGCCGATTATTTATACTTACCTTCATCTTATTTTACTATTATACTTATACCATAGGCTATCTGAGTAGGATCGAGAAAAGATATTATTCTGCGGCACACAGTTTTGTTTGGCTCCATTCTTCCTTTTAAACGTCCAAAACCGTATGACATTTTTTCAATTTTTTTTCGGGGAAAATTAATACAAATTGTCATATATAGGTGCCTGGTGCCTTGACTCACGATTGACAGACATAGGTATGCGCCTTCTATAAAATATGCATAATATAATGGTCGTTTGAATGTCTCAACCTCGGAGATATCTTCTTTCGATTAAAACGTTAGTAAGACGATAGTGCCTGTAATTGAATGCCATTATTGGCCCTGTCCATAACGAATTATAAAAATAATAGGCGTACCAATTGGCGGTAAAATTCGGCACTTCGGGAGACGCGTGCAAGAGTTTTTACTGTTGAAAAATATCGCTCACCGTCATCTCGAATCGAATATGGTTTTGTCATTATACCGAGTGTTCGATCGTAAGTAATGGATTTTCATCGTATCCGTTCGCCACCGTGCCGCAGCTTCCGTGTACTATACCTATATGTACGCGATATAATATCACACCTTCAGGGGTAATCGACACTTAGATTTCCGTGTGCAGTATATCATGACTGTTTGCTTTTTCTCCTTGCACATCCGTCCATTATAATACCGTCATAAAAGATATATTTTCGTTAAGTAATTTGACATTTTCGCCGTCGTTTTCTCGGCCGCGCGTGTGTGTGATATTTCGAACGTCGCCAGCTTTTCGAAAATGTCATATCCCCCCAGAGTTCATGCTTCATTTTTATTTTATATATATATATTTATATTATAATAGATTACCTGAGCATTATTTTCCAACCAACCGCCGATATTATAATGTCAGTGAGTTGTGTATAATATATATTATATAGTCGCTCTGAAATCTAGTTTTAGTTTGTTTTTCCTTTATTATTTGTTACGATGACTGTGCTTGTCTAATCCAAAGTCTGTCAAGGCTTATTTTTTAAATTATGAGTAATATTATTAGGTTTATAGACTAATAATGGCGTACTGTCTTACGAGTTAAGTTAATTTCATCTCATTTTAGATTTTTAAACTCTGTTAGCAGCAATAACTGTTAAACCTTCATTTTGACGTAATAAAATATCTAATTACATAGCTAAATGTTTTTATTTATTTAAAAGAATACAATTTTGATTGAAATCATGATGGTTTTAAAAATTACATTAAGTGAGATGTTTGAATAATATGAATTATTGTAAAATTAAATGATATCAATTCACTGGTTCATTTTTGTTTTATAAAAATACCTTCATTTTTAAAATCAACAACAATTTTAGGTAGTTATATAGCAACATTACAAAATAATGTGATAATCCCGAAATGATTGAAAATTTGAATATTGCGTTCAACCACTGTTATGGCTGAAGGAAGTATTTTAATGGTTCAAAATTTCGATCGTAAACGATGTATAGAGCATTAATAATATGTTCATAGTTCATACGACATCCTGATTCCTGAGTTAAAAAGGAATTTCAAGAATGTAAATTTGTCTAACGCTTACGTGTATACGTACATACTGCACGATGTTACATATATTTATTATCGTTAGGTCTCACTAAAATAACGTAGAGCAATCAATATTTTACGGAACATATATTTATTAAACCTTATACCAAAGCTATGTGTAGAATCTGTATGCGGAGCTATAGTAGTTAATGCGAGTTAATGCGTTATATCGATATAATGTGCTAGGTCACCTTTTCCTTATACATAATATCTCAATTGTCTGAGAATACGAAAATGTAATAACCCTCTCTCTCTCGGTGGATGCATCGCTGAACGACAATACTGAAACAATGCTGATCCGCGGACACTCTATATAGGTCCTTACCCGCCGGCCAAAATCGAAGCTCAAACTCGTTTCCAGTGACTGAAAAGCGAATTTAAAATAATGTATATAACGATGTATAATAGTGTTTATTATGGGGTCTAGTGCGTACGTTTTACTTATTCTTAATTAGGTGGAACGCGTATGTAATAACATAATACTTATATACATTACATATATATATAGGTACGTTAGTCGTATTATATATATTATCCACGTCGTGTGACGTGTTGTATAATGGACATATATTGTCTCATCGCGTGTTTAATTTCGAATTAATTGTCGGCATAAGTCAGATAATATTGTGTGTGGGCATTTAGGGAGTTTGAATAAGTTTGACTCGGACAAGGAGTTGTCAAAATCGTTCGCATATATTATTATTATTTGACGGCGCTTGTCAATGAATAATATTATATTAGACATTATTCGAATTTGTATGGATATGTGTATAGTTACAGTTGTGTAGGTATATGCAATATACATATATAGGTACACACACGCACACACACACACACACACACACACACACACACACACACATACACATCACTAATAGTAATTAATAGGCTATATCCATTCTTGCAGGTTTGGTTGGACGTATTGTTTGTATTGTAATTATAATAATTGTGTCGTTTTGGTTTAACGGTCGGTAATTATATGGTCCGCAAGTACGGCGGCGGCCAACCCCAAATTTCTTACGTTCTCCGGGCGCCGCCGAATGGAAATAATAATCACAATAAGCGCACGCTAATTTGCGAATATGCTAAGTACTCAAACACGTGAGTTTGTAATGTTTTCAAAAAACACGAACTATATTATCATATTTCCCTCCATAGCCCATACTCGTTAGTAACATATCTATATAGGTAAAATGTACGGTGCCGCCGCCGCCATTCCGGTTTTGTTCTAAATAAAGTCATTAAAAACAATAAAGCCATTATTTATACTAAAAAAAAAACCAGTTTTCCCAGACCCGGTAGTTCGCAACCCCTCAATTGTTCGATACCTGCCTACTCGTTACAGTCTATATTATATACACCTAAGAAAACAATAATTAAGTGGTATATTCGTCATTTTCTTTTTTTAAACATAATGTTGGTAAGTACTACTTGTTTACTGCACTGAATGATTTTTTAAAGCATTGATTTTTGTAGGAGTAAATACCCAAGAGAGTTTATAAAATATTGTAATATTATTTTTCATCTAAGAATAATTATAATAATTGTTTCAATGTTTATCACCGATATTTTAAATGTTTTATTAATCGTAGATTTTGGGTCGTTATATATATTATTTAACAGTCACAACTTGTACGGTTAATATGTGCATTTAATTTTTCGTACCAAAAAGTTCTGTTTCAATATTGTGCGACGCACATCGACTACTCGAGACTCTATGATAAGCTATAAAAAATAAACATATAAATATTAAATTCTAACTCAGCTATTGTCGGAGTATTTGAAAGTTTAATGAATTTTTTTTTATGCTTTACAGCTTACATTCTCCGCAATATTTTTGTAATGAAGAGAATTATATACATATTTATCATTTTTTGAATTCTTAATTCATTTTCCGCTGAGTCCTACTAATCGCATATATTGTACGGTCATTGTTTTTAGTTCCGCAGTGCTCGTGTTTTCATTTGGATTGACACGAGAATAATTAAATTTATAATTTGCGCATTCCCTCATTAAACTTGGAAAGTTTCCTGACGTTTTGTGGTTGTAAGGTGTCAAACACCGTTTTCTATATCATTCAGGTAAAGTGTTCGTTACGGATTCACTTCAGCTGAATTTAAATTAATTTTGTATATATTTCAATACCTTATTAAGAGCAAATATAGTATGGTAGACGGTAGTATTAGTATTTTATGCCATGGTCATACGTCTCATTCGGTCATTGTGGTAATACATTTAAGTATAACTATTTATTGAATACACTATTATGTGTATGACGTATGTACAATCTATAGTATACATTATATATAATAATGGTATTGTAAAAAGGTTCTAATATATTCTTAAACATTTCCGCCACGTAATTTCGCCATTTCGGTGCGTGTTTGCTGAGTTAAGCTCCAATATAATCGTTTTATAATATATTTTATATCTTGGTACTCGTCTGGAAATCCTGTTTTTGTCATTTGCCGCGTCGGACATTAAAAACCAATAAAGGAGCCGAATAAATCTGGTTTTAGCACATAAATAAATAATATATATAGGTACATTATAAATATTATATTCTTGGTATATACTCTTATAAACACATATACAATGTATGCAATATATGCTATATAAAATATGTGTATCGATAACTATGGATACCTGCAATAAAGTAACCAAAGGGCGTCATTTAAAGTGAAATCGTGGGTGTAACAATAGCATTTTGAATAATGTTATTAAATATCTTGTAGTCTAATGAAGCGCGGGGGCAATGGATCGATAAGTTTAAGTCAATTTTTCATAGTAATAATTTAGAAATACATCACAAATTTCACAATTTAATTCTCAAGGAAGTGTTCAAGACAATTAATATTTTGTTTAATACATATTAAAAGTGATGTTAACTAAGGTTGGACAATTTAATCAATTTTTATGGAAAACTATTAAAGTAAAAAAAATTAATTTTTCATTTTCTTACAAGTTACTCATAAGGTACCGTAGCTGTTTATTTGCAACCCTAATAAAAAATAGTGGCTTAGAAATTGCATTGCAATGGCGCCTATAAAAAAAACCAATATTACATTTAAAAGTTTTTACCTCGAACATAACGTAAATATGTTATGAAAAATGAAAATATAGCTTGAGCCTGAATAATTATTCTAGGTTTTGGCTTAAAGTCATACTATGCTTAATCTGCTTTTCCGGGAGTTATACAGTTTTATCAATACTGCTGCAACACAGATCAATCAAATATTAAATTATTAAA